TGTATTTTAAGGTCAGCAGAGGGTTATGAAAGTCATGGGGTTCTTTAGAGTTTTGCCCTCACAGTCACAGAGAAAACCTACCTAGTCTGCATGGACTGTGCTTTCTGTGTAATATTCCAACAGATCCTGACATAACACTTCACTAAAGAGCTGTTATATCTGTGTTCTCAAATAATATATCCACTTCTAGATCTCTATTTTTCTGTTTTCTGTTGCATGTTAATTCGCAATTGCATATAATCAAATACCAGACTTTCCCTCGTATTTTAGATCTGTATGTGTTGGAAATCTGACATGCCATTCGGGCATCTTGCTATCAAGAGAAAGACTGTGTTCAGCATCATGAATCTAACAATAAGCCACTATGTGTTGGGATTTGTCCATTTGCCTGATCAAGCCTGTTGTATTATTCAAATCCCCTTTATCATTACTTTCTCATGGCTGACAAATTTATCAGCTTCTGAGAGCGATGTGTTAAACAATAATGGAGTATGTTATTATTTATATCTTCCCTATTTTTTAATTGAATCTTCTCTCCTCTAGTCTCCCATGTGGTAATCATCTGTGATTTTAGTTAAAATGTGTTCTTAATGTCTTGTTTTAAAACTAATACCAAATTAGATACCTTAGGATTTTCCTTTCCTCATGACTTCTGTTATGTTTTTCTGGGTTCGCATTTCTTCCTCCTGATGTACATTCTTTACAGGTTCTTTCACTGAAGGCCTGTGGGAGGTCAACTCTAAGTCTGTCTGTCTGTTAGAAACTGTCTTTATCTCTTTATTTGAGAAATAGTTTGGCTAGGTGTTTTAGTTTTAGTAATTTTTTTCCTTCCTTGTTATTTAATATTTCTTAGTCTCCGTATCTTTAGCTATAAAATGGGAATAAAATCCTAAAATGGTGAGTGTAACTGAGGTAATGCATGCAGAGCCTGCCAGTCATGTTCCTTAGCAGATATTAAGTAGTCAATAACGATAGCTATTATTATCATTATTATAATCTTGAGAGAGTGCATTCTATGAGAATGACTACTTAAGACAAAGAATGTGAAGCTCACACGCAAAAAGACTGAATGGTTGACATGACTGTGATTTTAATTCTCAGCCCTTGGGTGTCTTCAGCTGTGGTCGTCTGCACAGTGTGCACAGATAATGTAATCTGTTCCCACAGACCCACTGCAGGACAGCGCAGCCTGCCTCATGCCTGGGCTGCTCTGGGCTGCTTGCTGGGGAGCCTCTGCTGTGAGGCTAGTTGGAGTCTGTGCAGAGAAAGATGAAAAAAGACTCTTTCTTTTCCCTCAGATTTCTCCCCCTGAGTTTTATTCACTTTCACATCCAAAGCAGACACTCTCTTTCTAGAGCTTTGGTGTTACTCTGGGATTCAGACTTCCCAGGCAGCTAGTCATTTCAGCTCCCAAGTCCCAAGGTGACTGCAGAGTCATGTCTGACCCACTCCTCCCATCTTGGCCTGTTTCCCGTCATGGAGGACCCATGAGTGGAGAGAGGAGCCATCGAGGGAGATTGATCTGGAAGTCCTGGTGAACCTCAGCTTCAGAGAATGAAGCAGAAAAGGGGAACCTGAGACTTCCAGGGCTTCAGGGGATGGGGAACATGGAGAAACCAAGAGGGGTGTGATGGCTGGCACATAGTTAAGGGGAGGGATGTTCCAAAGTTTCCTAAAAAGGGAAATCTTGCACTGAAGTTCGGGGATTTGATTTTACATGATGGCAATGTCTGTGCTGGTTTCACCAATTCTGGTGTCCCTGAGGGATGAAATGGTGTGACACCACAGGAGAGAAGTTGCAGTCGCCATCAGGACTTAAGGAAGGTGAAACCTTTTATCTTAGTCCCCTGTGAGCCAGTCAGGGGCCAAGTCTAGAAAAGCCTGGAGGCTGTGTCCAACCAATGTGGTTTCGTTCTGTTCCAGCCAAGCTCCTCTGGACCCCAGCTGGGAAAAGGGGGCTCAGGCAGATCTAGTCATCGCTGCTCCCGCAGGTCGAGGTGGGGCAGGTAATAGCCCAGGCGTTGTTGCTGGACCTTGTAGCTGCCCTCCTTCTTCCGCCGGCAGGTGGTGACCTGTGAGGTGAGGAAAAGGCATCAGAATAGACTGGTCAGCTGCCCAGTATGGGAGACTCCAGGGGAAGGGGATGCCAAAGCCACAGAGACCTGATGCTTCCTGCATCTCTAGCTTAATTGGGGTATTAATGACATACAGTAAACTGCACATATTTAAAGTGAATGATTTGGGCCAGCCCCGTGGCTTAGCAGTTAAGTGTGCGCACTCCGCTACTGGCAGCCCAGGTTCACATCCCAGGCGCGCACCGACGCACCACTTCTCCGGCCATGCTGAGGCCACATACACCAACTAGAAGGATGTGTAGCTATGACATACAACTATCTACTGGGGCTTTGGGGGGGGAAATAAATAAATAAATAAATAAATAAATTTAAAGTGAATGATTTGATAAGCTTTGATTATAACTTATTGAATCATCATCACAATGAAGACAAGGAGCGCCCATCCTCCCCAAATCTCCTCATGCTCCTTTGTAATTCCTCCTTCTCTGCCCTTTGCAAACACATTCTCATTCCCAGGCAACCACTGATCTGATATCTGTCCCTATAGATTTGCTTTCATTTTCTAGGATGTGTTTATAAATGGGATCACACACTATGTACTCATTTTTATCTGGCTTCTTTCAGTCAGCATAATTATTTTGAGATTTATGCATGTTGTTGCATGTATTAAGAATTCATTCTTTTTTATGGCTGAATAGTATTCCATTGTGGAGATATGCCACAGTTTGTTTATCCATTTCTCTGCTGATGGCATTTGGGTTGTTTTCCATTTTTTGTTAGTATAAATAAGTTATTATGAACATTTGTGTACAAGTCTGTGTATAGACATATGTGTTTATTTTCCTTGGATGGATTCATAGGGCTGGAATGACTGGGTAGGTGTATGCAACTTTTAAAGATGCATCCAAGCTCTTTTTCACCAGCACTCCATGAGATTTCCAGTTCCTTGACATCTTCACCAACACTGGTTATAGTCAGTCTTTTTAATTTTAGGCATTCTCAGGTGTGGTGGTATCTCATGATGACTGTCACTTACATTTCCCAAATGACTGATGTTGTTAAGAAAAGGAAAAGGCAAGCCACACAAAAACTGGGATAAAATGTTTGCCAAACATATCCCTAGCAAAGCACATGTATTTATAATATATAAAGAGCTCTTACAACCCAACAGTAAGAAGACAAGCAACATGTCCTGGCTTACCAGGAGACAGCAGATCAGGCATGTGATGAGCACCAGGAGTCCCGCCAAGCAGATGAGGATGAGGGCCCAGAAGGGGATGTCTGGGGAGACAAGTGCTGGATTGAGTCACCTCCTGTCATTCCCCCAGGTCTCCTTCTGTCCCCCCACTGTGCCTCAACCATCCTTGAGAAGGGTTGGCCAACTCGCATCATCATCCAAGACCCTGTGTGTGTGGTTCTTTTTGATGAGGCACAGCATCAAGATACTCCCTCCCCACCCTGGGCTGGGGCTCCCTGGAGGCTTACCAGGCTTCTCAGTCAAGGCATCATCTCTGTTGGGAGAATATCCTGGAAGTGAATGAAATGGAGAATGCACGTGAGTGTGTTTTACTCTTTTCAATAAATCTTTTAAGACACACAGAAAAATAGAACAATCTCATAAACATCCATCACCTAGATTTAACAATGTATATTTCATCCAACTAAAACAATATTTCATTTAATGTGTAAATTATTAACAGTTGCCACCCTTGGTTCATCCCATATTTTCACTGAAATATTAAAGTCAAGTAGACATCATGATGTTTCACCCCATTTCAGTTTGCATCTATAAAAATTAGGATACTTCGTTACATAATCCAAGGCCATTATCACACTACAAGAGTGTAACAAATAAATCAAATGCATACCTCTGGGCATGGAGGACTGAAACTGGGCTGGGCCATCTTATGACGGTTGGAGGGAGAATGGGTCATTACAGTTCACAAGCCCATGGAATCTCTCTAAATTTGTAAATTCCCACTCAAACCCTTTCTTCTCTGCCTAGAAACACATTTATCCCCTACTCCTTTACTGAGTTGTTTTATACTCATTTTCCCGTATGTACCTACAGTGTAATTAACTCCAGGAAGCCTATTCTGATTACCACTCCCAAGTGTGGATTGGTTCATATCAAATAATTTATAATTTTCAATTGCTTATTCTTGTTATTGCCAACTACAACCTAAACTCCAGGAGGGTAGGACACACAGCACTCAGTGGGCATGCGGGGAGGGTTGCTGGTCCCCCTACTTGTACAACCCCTCCCCAGACAACCTCATAGAGAAGTGTTGTCTGATCCGGAGCAGCAACAAGTGCCTTTTTAAATTAAAATTAATTTTAGTTAAATAAAATATATGTGGTAGCTGAGTAACATTAAAAATCAGTAACCACAAAAACCAGTCACAACACCATCCTTCAAGTACTCAACAGCCACATGTGGCTATGCACTGGACAGCACAGATCTAGAATATTCCACCAGTATAGGAAGTTCTAATGCATGGTGCTGACCCAGAGCAGGACTTGTGGGCCAAGTCAGGCCCATTGCCTATTTTTATACAATCTATGGATCAGAAAACCGGACCATCCCCCAACCTGTGAGGCTGGTTCACACATAGCTCACAACCTGTGAGGAGGCCCTCACTGACCATCTGGCCAAGTGGCTTTCAGTGCAGAGATAAGGAAACAAAAGTCCAGAGAGGGGAGGTGACTAGCCTAAGGTCACAGAGCTGTCTAGGAGAGGTGAGTGCCTCCTATATCCCACTGGGTGTTCTTTTCTCCCCTCAATGGTGGGTAAAGCCTGGGGCACTATGCCACCTCCTGTCAGCCTGAGAAAGTTCAATGTTCTCTCAGCCCCAGGCCTCCAGATGTCCAGGAAAGGCCTCACTTTCTGCCCCAAACACCAGGGAGCCTTACCATCCACAAAGACACTCTTCCTGTCCAGGGTAAAGTTCTGCAGCTGGGTACCATTCTGGGTCAGCCGCAGGAATTCCTTGTAGATGGCAACTCTGTCCAGTCTCCGTGCCAATGGCGAGAAGGCACACAGGGAGTCCACCCCAGTGTGGTTACTGTCGGGGACAGACCTAGAAGGGCACAGGGTGTGAACAAGGGTGTCTGGAATTCTACCCTGAGTCTAGATTCCCTGCTTCTAGGTCTTGTTCAAGAGAACTTTCTGCAAGGATGTAAACATTTGTGTCTGCACTATCCAATATAGTCATTATTAGCCCCATTATGTAATTTAATTTAATGTAATTAGTTTATAAAAAGTCACAGGACAACATTTTAGAAATGTTGGAGCAAGGACTTCTGCAAATGTGTAAAAACAATGAGAAAACTGGCAAAAATGGTCAAAACCAACTTTTTCAGAAGTTTAGAAATTAATCAAAGGTTTGCAACAGAGTTAAGAAAAATGGTGGAATCTTGGTAAAGGGAGCAAACTTCATGGCACTATAACTTGCACTATTCCCATCCTGCTCTCACAATATCCCCCATAACTTTGAAAACCATCAGTCTCAGAACCATGGTAGCTGTGAAAACCAGCAGCCTAGCAGCCATAATGGGTTTGGAGTTCCCAAAAGACCCAGCCCCACTGAACTGTCACTATCTGACCTGCCTGTCAGGTCTTTGAAAAAGCCCGATGTTCAGGGCTTGTTTTTATTTGATTCAGAGCTTGCTCAGTGAGGAAAGTCTATCCCCAGGTCACTTGCTAAAAACAATCAGTGGTAATTGTTTTACACTCTAGCTACCTGAATGAGCGATACCAGTTGAGGGAGGCAAGAGGTGAGCTGAAAAGCTGGGGGAACAAGATATCCATGGGTAACTCTGAAAATATCCAACACATTTGTGGGCGTCTAGAAGGCAACAAGTGTTCAGGGCTGTGTGCATGCCCAGGAAAGACTTGAGAAGGTCTTAATCTCTCACCTCTAGCTGAAAGCTTGCCTTAATATCTGGAAAATTGATTAAGGTAATACACCATATTAATAGAATAAAGGACAAATACGACCCAATCTCGATCCAGACAGACAAACAAGAATTGCACAAAATACAACATCTTTCATGACTAAAAAAGAAAACACTCAACAAATTAGGAATAGAAGGAAACCTTTTCAACCTGAGAAATAGCATCTGTGAAAAACCCACAGCTAACATTATACTCTATTGTGAAAGACCGAATATTTCCCTCTAAGACCAGGGACAAGACAGTGATGTCCGCCCTCATCTCATATGTAATCATAGATACTAGAGGTTCTAATGAGGGCAATTAGGCAAGAAAAAGAAATAAAACAGATCCAGATTGGAAAGGAAGATGTCAAACTATTTCTTTTTGCAGATGACACAATATTGTATATAGAAAAATCCTAAGAAATACACACACATACACACATACACACACACACGATATGTATATCCCAATAAGTGTATAAAAAATTTCAACTGCCTCATGTGGTAGTGGCTCCACTACTGGACAGCATGGTTAGACTGCTTCATTCTATGGCAACCAGTTCTAACCCCCATCTTCCATGGATCCTGACTCAGTAGCTGATGTCTTAAGGCCTGGTCTCTACACTCCATTTCCATGGCCTCCAGCACCTCCATGTTTGCTGAGGTTGACACAAGCTCTTTTGAGTTTCTAAGCCAGGTACTCACTGGCTTAGGAAGAAGCTGTTTTTTAGGTGACAACTCTATATTCCTAGGGCTCTCTGCCATAACAGCTAGGAACTAAGAGATTATGGCATGGAGACACTTTTACTTAAAGGACAGCAGAAGTCTGCAAAGTGATTAGGTCCTGAGTTGGAACTCACCTGAATGCTAAAACTTGACAGTCAGAAAAAGAACTCTTGATGCTGCTGTTTCGGAAGAGCCGGTTGAGCTGAAAGACAGGGCAACATTTCCTTGGTCAGAATCCCAGGTCCAGTGGCATCAGAGAGTTTTTAGCCACTGAGTGCACTTCCCCAGCTATTTATTCTTGTCTCGAAAACACTAGCCCAGGCATGTGTAGCAACGGACGTCTTGTTCCAGAGTTTGATTTGGCTGTGTGACCCTGGGCAGCTACTGAACATTTCTGTGCCTGTTTCTTAATTTCTAAAATGGGAATAAGAACCTGTCTTTATGAATTGTTATGAAAAGTCATCCTCTGACTCCCAAGTGTCCAGAAGTCTGTCTCTACATGGGAACACAGTGGACACACAACCCCAGGCTCACCGCATCCTCAATACTTCTCTTGTTCCACTGGTGTTTGGTGGTGCCTGGCTGGGCTATGTCCTGGGAATAGAGGAGGTTGGTGACAGTGAAATTCAGCTGGAAGTGCTGGGGGCTGGTACTGCTTGTTGGCTTGTCTGTTGGTAGATGCACCGATGGCTCCACTTCTAGAATAAAAGAAAGTATAAAAGTTCCCTATCTGGGGAAGGTTTTAACAAATGGGTCATTCCAGCCAGTCTACTTCTTCCTGGCAATGTGACCTGAGCTGGGGTTTTAAAGGTGGGCTACAGAAGACCCTCCAACCACCTGTCCGCCTTGAATCCATTCATGGATCTGTCCAACTCTCCACCAAGCACTATGAGAGTTCACCAGGATGGGGGAAGAGGAAACCGGGCCTCTCGGGGGCATCATTGGCAAGTGTAGTGCTGACCCCCCACTGGGCATCTGTCACACACCTTTGCTGACCTAAGTTCCTAATGGGTCTTCCTGCCTCTGATCTTCTTCCCCCTCCCAATTCATTCTCCACATAGCACCAGAGGATGAGCATTCTAAAGCAGAACTCTGAGTGTGTCATATTCCTCCACAAACCATACCAGTGCCCTAGAAAGTCCCTGCCCACATCTTTAGCTCCACCTCTCCCATGTCAAAGTGTATGCTCCAGCCACACCAAACTTCTTACAGCTTCCTCAAATACGCCATGATCCTTCTATCTGCTAGGTCATAGGCACATGTAGCGTGATTCCTCATCTCTTCCCCCTGGCTAGGTCCTGTTCTTCATCACTTCCTCCAGAAAACTTTCCAAGACAGGGCTGTGTGTCCCTCCTTGGGGTTCCCACAGGCTCTTGAATTTCCATTATAGCAATTATCACAATGTATCATCAGTGCCTATTTACTTTCATCAAGTAGTCGTTAAATGAATGAATGAATGAATCAATCAATCAATCAATCGATGCATGAATCATGACTGGGGGCCTAAGAAGGAAACCCAGGATCCTTCACATTTTGAGTTGGAAAAATTGGCATGTAAAAAATAACCAGTTCCTTGGTTGCAATTGCTACATTTTCTCTTCCTGCCTCCTTTTGGATGACACACTGCCATCGGTCAAGATGAGCTTCCAGAAAGCCCCCTTTTCACTCTGGAGCCTCCATCCATTCCACTGCTACTCAGAAGCCTCATCCTTCTTCATACACCAATCTTTTCCAGCCATGAAGCTAGCCCCTTCATCTCACACCTGTCACATGTACGTCTGCCAGCTGGTAGGTGGCATCCAGCCAGTGGGATGAGGAGTTCAGGGTCTTGTCTAGAAAGACTTGCTCCACCATGCTAGGGTCCAGATTGGAGGAAAACTGTGCCTTGATGTTGACCAACATGGAATGCAACCTAGGGACAGAGACCATAGGAACTTAGCCAGCTCCCAACACCAGCAGTGTCTCCTGAAGTCCTCCTTTATACAGCCAGTGACCCAGGGGCAAGCAGGGGGGCGTTATCTGGCTGCCTCTTCCCCCAGGCTAGAGAAGAGACCCTGACCAAAAAGGGAAGGCTTCCAGGAGTTGAGAAAAGAAGCAGTAACAGTAACAATAATGAACATCTATTGAGCACCTCTAAGAAGTGACTTACACATTCCTTCACCATCACTCTGGTGGAAGGTATTGTTATCATCATCCCCAAGTTAAAGAGGAAGGAACTGAAGTTTGGAAATATTCAAAGTCAGCGCTGTGTCCTATGATCCTCCTCCTCCCCATTGTAGACGTCCTAGTCCTAGTTCCTACACTCGTCCCTCAGAGGGGATCAAACACAACTGTGAACAGTTCTTGGGCTGTTCACCTCACTTCTCTGAGTCTCAGTTTTCCCATCAGCGCAATAGGGATTATCACTGTATCCACCTCATGGGGGCAGTTGTGAGAACTGAATGAGATAATCATGCAAGAAAGTGCTCAGCAGGGAGCCTGGCCATTGTCAATGTCACTATTGCAGAGCCACCAGCTGCCAGCTCAGCCAATGCTTCTAATCTCCTCAACTTACGTCAAGTTGGTGACCAGGCAGGAGTGGAATATGTCTCGTAGCTGGCTGCCACTGTAGAGCTTGGTGACCTAGAGCGAAGGGTAGGGAGAAGGGGTGAGATGGAGGTCTCCTGGGGCTGCAGGGGCCACTGGAGCTAGTCAAGGAACACAGGCCTTGAAGCAAAGTTCAAATCTGGGCTCTGCCCATAACTCACTGTGTGCCCTTAGGCACACAGCACCCTTTTCTGAGCCTCAATTTCCCCATCTGAGAAATGGGGAAGTCAGCTATTGCACCACCTCTGGAAACTGAGAGAACCCAGAGCATGTAGGGAAAGTGAAGGGTTGAAACAAGCACTTAATAGATGTACGTCAGATGGAGGAATGAGAGGGGCCCCAGGGCAAGGAGGGATGGGTGAGGGGAGAGACCCCACCTTGTCCTGGATGTCCCTCAGCAGGGCGGTGTACTCCGAGAACGTGGGCTCCGGGTTGCTGAGGTTCCAGTTGATGATGTGGAAAGTTAGCTGGTACTCTCTCTGGAGAGATAAACTCTGGGGTGCATAGCCTGGAGCCACCGAGAGGAAGAACAGACAGGAGGAGACTCTAAGCTCTTAGCACAGAAGCATGGTGGCCAAGGGGGCCCTGCCTAGTGTCAGAATCAGCCAGAATCAAGCCCACATGCTGGGGGCTGCAGGGTCTCCAAATGGAAAATCACCCCAAAGAGGGGAGAACTGCAATTTTACAAGGATTCTCCTGAGTGAGCTTTTCTGCTTTTGCTGATGCAGTTTCAGCTTCCTGGAATGTTCTTCCACCCTCTTCTTTTCCTGGAAAACTCCTATTCATGCCTCAGGAGCCCAATGAGATGGAGCTCCAGGAGAGGAAGGACTCATCTATCTTGTTCTCGCCGTGTCCCAGCATGTAGCACAGTTTAGGGAACATAAAATCCTTTTCCAGGAAGCCCTCCTTGACTTGTCCCTTCTCTGAACTCCCATGGCACCCTGTTAACAACAGTGTCTCTGCCTTTTTTGTGTCCCTAAATAATCTTTAGTTCACTTGATTGTGAGTTTTTCACGGACAAAACCTATATCTTCTAACTCTATACACAGCACATAGCTTGGGACAGAATGGTCATATATATGTGTTTGTTGAATGAATGAATGTGAGCTGCAGTGGATTCCCAAATATGAGGGCCTAAGACACTCATCTGTCATTTGATCACTCATTTATTGGGTACCATGATGTACCGACATATTAAGAACAGAGGATACAGTGCCTCACTAGATAAACCCTAATGTCCCTAAAGTGGCAGAGCTCAGAGTGTGAGAGGGGAGTTGGATAATTAAACAGGTAATTGCAGTAAAGTGTGGTAAGGGTTGGTCTGGTGCCCGTCTAGGAACTGGGGGACCATGTACAGTGGGGTTTTTCACCCTCAGAACTACTGATATTTAGGGCTGTATAATTCTTGGTGGTGGGGTCTCCTGTGCATTGGAGGACATTAGCAATGTACTTGGCCTGTATCCATTAGATGCCAGGAGTTTCCTCTCCCAGTTGTGACAATGAAAAATGTCTCTAGACATTGCCAAGTGTCTCCTGGGGACGGAATTGCCCACAGGTGAGAAAATGCCCTAGAGGAACCTCACCTAGGAGAAACCTTGTCCCAAGAGATCCCATGGGTCAGATATTTTGGTTTTGAATTTAATTTCATTACATTCCTTGATCAAAGAATTTCATGCTATTTACCTGAAATAACAGGAGAGACCCTCCCAATGGAGGTTTAGGGAGGGTGTACCCTCACCAAAACTTGGGCTGACTTGTTAAAGAGGAAATAAAATAGAACAGCGACAAGAAATGATCACTGTAAATCCAAGTTCACATGAACACTCACCACTGACGCAGAGGCTGCCCCTGACCAGGGTGTAGAGGCCCATCTGGGTGACACCGTGGGTCAGCTGGTGCAGCTCCCAGTAAAGCTGCTCCCTGTCCAGCCCGTGGCCCACGGGGTCAGGGTGGTAGGTGCAGACAGCGTCCACGGTGGTGGCTGCCCCCTCCTTCTCAGGCCTGGGGAGAGAGGGATGTGGGGACTCTAGAGAGAGGTCCTGAAACCTCTGGGGGTGGGGGCCAGAAGGAGGGAGGAGCAAATGGGAGATCAGTGGGAAGACTGCAAAAGAGGTGGTGATCAAATGTTCAGGAAGGGTCTTACCTGAGGGAGACCAGCCTGCAACTCGAGTAGAAGGGGCCCAGGCTGCTCTTCTTCAACAAGGACCCAAGCTGAGGAGGAAGGGGGAGGAGGATGAGCAGGAGGGACAGGGGTGGGGGAGGGGCTGCGTGGGATTTATCCCATCAGGAGCTGTTGGGACCAGGGTCTCACCAGGCTCTGCAGAACCCTCTCGGTGGAGTTGAACACAGCTGAGCTGTTGCTCATGTCTGTTGAATACTGGAGGTTGGAGACGGTGAAGTTGACTGTGAGGGTCTTCAGGTTGTGCCCCAAAGCTGCAAGAAGAGAGGGAGAGCGATGGCCATCACTGAGAGCTGGCCTGAGACCACACCAGAATCCTGCACTCGTTATAATCTGTCGTCTTCTCTCCCAGTTGCACCACCACCCACCCGTGTGGTCACCCAAGTCAGAACCAGCACATCTGCTCAGCTCCTCCTCCCTCCCAGTAACACCAATTCCAGTTGCACACTGGTCCTCACACACACTCCATCCCTGTCCCAGCTCAGGTCTTAACTTCTTTCACCCGGACCAACACTCCAGCAGGCTCACTAGATACCTTGTTTAAAGGACGTGCTCTACATTGAACACTAGAAGAATTTTTACAAAGTGAAAATCTCACTAGGGCTACCACTGCTCTAGTACCACCCATGGCTCCCTATGGCCTTCAGCATTAAGTTCAAGCTTCTTGACGTGGCACTCAAGGCCTTTCCCAATTTGGCTGCTGTGGAACTTTCAGTCTTATTTTATCCATCTACTGCTAGTTAAGCTTTATGCTTCATGCAAACCACATTCCTCTCAATTGTCCCCACATACCATGTTGTTTCTGGCCACTGAGACTTTGCTCATGGAATCCCCTCTGCCAGGAAATCTCTTCATCCTCTATTTGCCTGGATCCCTCCTACTCATTCTTAAAGACTCCATTCTGGTGAAACTTTCTCTAGCAAGCTCTTCCCCTCCAAATTATGCCAGGTGCCTCTCCCCAAAACCTCCCACATTGTGTTATAATGGTATGTTAACTTCACAAGACTAGAGACTCTCTGAGAGCTGGCCTCAGACTAAATTTCTGGTATAATCTTTGTGATCAGCATGATTGCCCTAAAGCCAGAATTTCACACCCTGGCTTCCCAGCTCCTGGGTTACAACTGGCTGGTGGAAATGTGGGACTGGAGAGCTTTTTTTGGGAAGGAAAAGGGGCATCCCAGATACCTGTGGTGGCTTCTGGTTGCACAGGTGATGATGAAGTAGGCAGGGATGCGGTGGCTGGCTCAGGAGCTGTGGAAAGGGCTGTCATGAGGGAGGGACAGAGTGGGAGAAGCCCCCAGGCTCACCTGGGCTCCAGTAGTGACTGCCTCAGGACCACCACTCACAGGTGAACCATAAATGAAAGTGAGGGGAGGGGTGACTGTGTGAGTAGAGGGATGAGCAAGACTGTGGATGAGATGAACGCAAGAGAGAGAGATGGGTGAACAAGAGAGAGACTGAACACGGAAGAGAGATGGACGGGCAGAAAAATGGACAGAGAGATGGGATACCTGGATGGACAGAGGAAGAATGGACAAACGGAGGGTCAAAGAGAAAGGAAGAAAGAAGAGTAAAGACAGGAAGAGAAGTTGGAAAGATGAGAAGAAAGAGCATGGAAGGACAGAAGGAAGAAAGGACAAACAGGTGAACAGGCAGAAGGATGGTTGGATGGATGGGTGAATGGATGGATGGATGGATGGATGGATCAATGGATGGATAGAAGTATGAAAGGATGGATGGAATGAAGACATGAAGGAAGGAAGGAAGGAAGGAAGGAAGGAAGGAAGGAAGGAAGGAAGGGGGGAGTCTGAGAGAAGAGATAACTGGGAGGATGGAAGAACGCATGGGTTAAAAGATGATGAATGGACCACTAGAAGAGTGAATGGGCAAATTAGGCCAAACCACTGAGTGGCCAACAGAGTTTGCAGCTTGACACTGAGTTGCCTTCTGCAGCCCCTGTAGGGGATTTTGTTTTCAGGAGGCACAGACTGCAAGGTCATTATCTGATCTCAACCCTTATCCCTGTAGGAATGCTTGTTCAAATTTCTTCTTCCAACCCAGAGGGGTGTGGAAAATTCAGAAAACCAGTACCATGACTGAAGGTTCAAACAGAGGCCAAGGACTCAGCATTCTTTCTCCCACTGACACTCAGGAGACAGGTCTGAGTTTCTGCAAGACTGATGGAGGTTAAAATGGGCACTGGATCAAAGATACGTACTTGTAGGAGGTTCATCTGGACCACGTTCATTATAACCTGGAACCAAAAATTCACACATTAATGGGGGGGGGGTGGCAAACAATCTCAGATGTCCTATGCCTTTGTCCATGCGGGGCTCCTGCCCAGATGCCTTTCCCTCTGTACCAGGTGAGCATCTACCCATCTTCTAAGATCAGACTCAAATGTCATCCCCACTATAAAGACTTTCCTGATGTTCTGATTAGAAGTGATGCTTCCCTGCCCACCTCTCCAGCATGCCCCCAACAAGAGGCTCTCTTCACAGTTATGTTCACACATTCATCCCTCCACATATCCATGTACCCCACCATTTGCTCCTCCACCCTCCCTCCAATCTATCCCTCCAATGAGTATTTATCGAGAGTTTGCAATGTTCCAGATTCCATTGCATTTGGGGAATAGAGCACTGAACAAAACAGATCGGCTACATTAGGACTGTTGTCCATGTAGCCGATCTCTGTCCCTGTGCCCAGCACAATGCCTGGCTTATGGTAGCCATGCTTGGTCAATGCTGAATGGGTGAATAAAATGAAGCATGCATTTTGTGCAGTTTACAAGGGAAAATTCTAAACTGGCTTCTGCAATGGCCGATGAGAAGGGAACAGAGGTGAACTCAGAACTTCAAGATCCAGACTGTCCACACACCTCCTGTGGGTGTGGGTGGGTCCCTTCCCTTCTCTGTACCTCCGTCTCCCTCTTTGCTAAGATGGGTCATAAAGGACCAGGACGTCTCCCTCCCACCTGATGGGGCCATGGTGATGACAGTGTGAGTGGACAAACACCATTCCCAGGTTGGGGACAGAAAGGAAGGAAGCTGAGTTATTCCAATCAACCTCCCCATGGCCATGCTCTGCCTCTCAGAGCCCCAGATGAGATGTCCCTTCCCGGATTCTAGACTGATGCCCAGTGTGTCCGAAGCTTGGACCTCTTAGATGTTCAGAGAGCCTGCCTCCCTTCCTGGCCTAGGGGCCCCACCCAGGAGAGAAGCCCACCCCTGGTCAAGGGTGAGAAGAAAGCAATTGGGGGAGAGAGATGGGTTTTCAGTCCCTGGGTCCCCCCTAGTAAGACTCTTCTATGAATCAATGTGTCGAGTGGAGCACAGCATTGGATGCTGACAACTGGGACTCATGCCCTGGCTCCACCACTCTTCAGCTACACCCAACTGGGAAAATTACTTAACCTTCCGATCCTCAGTTTCCTCATTGTTAAAATGGGTTTAATCAAGGACTAGCCTTGCAGGGTGGCTGTGTGGGGTCAGTGTGGAGTCCAGATTCACACCTGAGTTTATCCCAAGTCTTCCCTTGGAGAACTGACTGGTAAATGGAGACCCTTCTGGGGTTAAGGGGTGGCCCCAGTGAGGTGGGCTGAGAATCACTCACCATTGAGGTAGAGGCTGTCCTTGTCCAGAGAATAGGGGCCCAGCCTGGTGATGCCACGGGTCTGCCGGCTCAGCTCATGGAACACCTGCTTGGCAGGCAGACCCAGGCCGCTGGGGGGCTGCCAGTAGGTGCAAAGGACGTCCACCCCTGTCTTAGCGCCATTCTTCACTGACCTGGGGAAGGAGAGGTTGACCTTTGGGGGAATGCAGCCCACTCGGCACCTCTCCACCTGTGGGCACTGCATACCTCATATCATCTGACCCATTCGCAGTTTCTCCACCTGGCCATACTCTCTGACCCCAGGATCTTTGAACATGCAGTGACTTCTGTCTGGAAGTCTCTCCCCTTTTCTCCTTACCTGGGTAATTTCCCACTCATCCCTCAGGTCTCAGCTTAGATACCTCCTCCTCTAAGAACCCTCCCGGGCTGGCTCAGGGACCTCTTCTGGTCCCCACAGTACCCTGTGCTTCCTCCATCACAGCCGTGGTCACCCTCTATGTGAGTATATATTATTTCTCCCTGTTCCCTCAAGATGCTGACCTCCGTGAGGTCAGGGAATGGGACAGTCTAGTTCACTGTTGTCTTGTTGAACCCTCAGCCCCCAGTACATTGCCTGCTCCATGGAAAAACCAAAGTCCTGAGGAATGGATAAACAAAATAGGATACATACACACATGGAATATTATTAAGCCATACAAAGGAAGGAACTTCTGACACATGATACAACATGAATGAATCTTGAGGATATTATGCTCAGTGAAACTAGCCAGTCTCAAAACGACAAGTACTGTATGATTTCACTTAGATGAAGTACCCAGAGTAGTCAAGTTCATAGAAACAGAAAGTAGAATGGTGGTTGCCAAGATCTGAGGGTAGAGGGAACCGGGGAGTTGTCGTTTAATGGGTATAGAGTTTTAGTTTTGCAAGTGCTAGAGATTGGTTGCACAACAATGTGAATATACATAACACTACTGGACTGTACACTTAAAAATGGTTCAGATGGTAAATTTTATGTTATGTGAATTTTTTTTGAGGAAGATTGGCCCTGAGCTAACATCTGTTGCCAATCTTCCTCTTTTTCTTTTTTCTCCCTAGAGCCCCAGTACATAGCTGTGTATCATAGTTGTAGAGCTGTAGCTCTTCTATGTGGGACACCGCCTCAGGATGGCCTGATGAGCGGTGAGTAGGTCCATGCCCAGGATCCAAACCTGTGAACCCCATGTCGGTGAAGCAGAATGCATGAACTTAACCGCTATGCCACCAGGCTGGCCCTTGTTATGTGTCTTTTACCACAAGTTGTAAAAAACCAATTTCCTTAGAACAAAGAATCCTAAAGTTTATATGGCACAACAAATGATTCCAATTAGTGAAAGCAATCCTGAGAAGAAAGAACAAAGCTGGAGGCATCACAATCCCAGACTTCAAAATATACTATAAAGCTATAGTAATCAAAACAGCATGGTACTGATACTAAAACAGACACACAGATCAAAGACAGAATTGAAAGCCCAGAAATAAAACCACACATCTATTGACAGCTAATCTTTGACACAGGAGCCAAGAACATACAATGGAGAAAGGAAAGTCTCTTCAATAAATGGTGTTGGGAAAACTGGACAGCCACATGCAAAGGAATGAAAGTAGACCCTTATCTTACACCATACACAAAAATTAACTCAAAATGGATTAAAGACTTGAAGGTAAGACCTGAAACTATAAAACTCCTAGAAGAAAATATAGGCAGTACACTTTTTGACATCGGTCTTAGCAGCATCTTTTCAAATACAATGTCTACTCAGGCATGGGAAACAAAAGAGAAACAAATGGGATTACATCAGACTAAAGAGCTTCTGCAAGGCAAAGGAAACCAGGAACAAAATGAAAAGACAGCCCAGCAACTGGGAGAAAATATTTGCAAATCATATATCCAACAAGGGGTTAATCTCCAAAATATATAAGGAACGCATACAACTCAACAACAAAATACAAAACAACCCAATCAAAAATGGGCAGAGGATATGAACAAACATTTTTCCAAAGAAGACATATAGATGGCCAACAGGCACATGAAAAGATCTTCAACATCATTAATCATTAGAGAAATGCAAATCAAAACTACAATGAGATATCACCTTCCACCTGTTGGAATGGCTATAGTTACCAAGAGAACAAATAACAAACGTTGGAGAGGATGTGGAGAAAGGGAACCCTCATGAACTGCTGGTGGGAATGCAAATTGGTGCAGCCACTATGGAAAACAGTATGGAGATTTATCAAGAAATTAAAAATAAAAATACCATTTGACCCAGTTATCCCACTACTGGGTATCTATCCAAGGAACTTGAAATCAACAACTGAAAGAGACTTATGCACCCCTATGTTCATTGCAGCACTATTCACAATAGCCAAGATGTGGAAGCAACCCAAGTGCCCATCAATGGATGAATGGATAAAGAAGATGTTGTATATATATACAATGGAATACTACTCAGCCATAAAAAAGACAAAATCATCCCATTTGCAAAACATGGATGGACTTTGAGAATATTATTAAGTGAAACAAGTCAGAGATAGACAAATACCACGTGATTTCATTTATATGTGGAAGATAAACAAACATATGGACAGAGAGAACAGATTAGTGGTTACAAGAGGGGAAGGGGCCTGGGGGTGGGCAAAAGTGGTAAAGGAGCACATATATATGGTGACAGATGAAAATTAGACTACTGGTGGTGACCACAGTGCAGTCTATACAGAAACCGATAAAAAATAATGTACACCTGAAATTTCATAATCTTATAAATCATTATGAACTCAATAAAATAAAAAAAAAAAAGAAAGGATAAAAAAATCAATTTTCTCCAAGACTCTACACGGTATAAACCTTGCTGATGTCTCAGATCTCCTCTCCTCCCTCTCTCCCTTGCTCTCTCTCTGCTCTAGTCACACTGGCCTCCTTGCTGTTCATTGAACATGCCAAGCTCATTCCCACCTCAGGACCTTTGCACATGCTCTTCCTCCTACCTGGAACAGTTTTCATGGCTGAATCCTTCTCTCCAATTGGGACACAGCTCAGAAGTCACCTCCAAAGAGAGGCTACCCTGTCCCCTGGGTAAAGCTGCTTTCTCATCATTCTCTATTTCTTTATGCGCCACATTATGTTACCCCATTTGAAATCACTTTACTTAGATATTTTTTCTCCTTAGTATCCGTTTTCTCCACTAGATAAGGGCAGGAGTGGTGCCTGTCTTGTCACTGTGGTGACACCACCTGCCTCAGAGGAGCTGTACCGTTGTCACCAGCTGAATGAGAATATGAATGGAGAAGTGCTTCATAAATACCAACAGAACACAACCTGACCCAGAGACTGGAGGGTAATTGCCAGTGGGTGCAGAGTTTCTGCTCGGGGTGATAAAGAGTTTTGGAACTAGATAGTGGTGGTGGGTGCATAACATTGTGCCTGTAATTGATGGCACTGAATTGTACACATATATATGGTTAAAATGGCTACTTTTATATCTATATGTATTTTATCACAATTTCAAAAATTAATAATGTAATATAAAAAAAGAGATGCAGAAAAGGACCCTCCAAGAATAGCCTGCTGTAACCGGGGGTGGCCTGCACAGTTCGGAGTCTGTGTCCTCCAGTGGTGGCCATGGGGTGGGGTGTTCTCACCTTAGGGAGGTGACCTTGCAGCCTGCGTATCGGGGACCCAGGCTGCTCCTCTGGAACAAGGAGCTGAGCTGGAGAGGAAGGAGAGAGTCAGCGGTGGTCAGAGATGGGCAATAGCTGAGGATGGGTCACGGAGGTGGGAGGGGGAGGCAGGCCTCTCACCAGGTGCCGCATGAGGGTGTCTGTGATGTTGAACTTGAGGGAGCCGGGGCGACCCATGTCCGCCGAGTAGCGCAGGTTGTCGATGGTGAAGTTCACCGTGAATGGCTCCTCACTGCCCTCCCCAGCTATGATAAGTGCAGAGAGAGCTGAGGCTCGCGGGGAGGTCGGGGGGCCCAATATCCACCCCAGGATGGGGCTCAAAGGGTGCACATCCTCCTCCTATTGAGCCTGAGGGTCACTTGTTAATGGAGACAATCCAGCAGCGAGTATGGGCAGGCCTAATGATTTGGGGGGTTGAGATGGGCATTTCCACCCAGGTGCAGGAGTGGAGGGCTCTGTGGAAACACTGGTGGCTTTGTACTTTCCCCAGAGGAAAGGCTCCAACTTGCCACGCTGATGCAGAACTGATGACCCCAGATATTTTCATCTATACTCTCTGCTCTCCATCTCTTATCTCTTTGTATCTCTGTGCCTCAGTCTCTCTCTCTCTCACTCTCTATCTCTGTAGATAGACAGACATCTAAATCTATCTATATCTACATCCAAATCTATATCTGTATCTCCTGGATTGTTGGCTTCTTAAACCACTGCATAGAATGTTGGCATATCTGGTTGTAAGAATAGGAGATCGATCTATCTATCTATCTATCTATCTATCTATCTATCTATCTATCATCTATCACCTATCTCTCCTGCCCTTATAACCAGGTATGACAATCTTCTGTGCAGTGGTTAAAAAAAGCCAACAATCCTAGTAGCTGTAACCAACATCTCCATACCTCGATTTACTTATTTATAAGATGAGATCATAGTAATTCCTACTTCAAAGGTTGTTATGAGGTCTAAACAAGTTAATTTTTATAAAAGGCTTCAGCACAGTGCTAGGCATGGAGTAAACACTATGTAAGGATTTATTATATAAAATAAATAAGCAAATGCTTTCTGATCACCTACTATTGAGAGGTTTTTAATGGATAAATATATGCTGGGTACTAGAATTACTCACATTAAACAAAGGAGGAAACCAAAGTACAGAAATTGTCACCTGCCTGGGGTCTCATGGCTAGAAGGAGGGAGAATCTGGTTGGACCCCTGTCCTCCAACCCCTGGGTCCTTGCTTATGGCCTCCTCTGCTACACTCTTGCTCAGACTCATGCTTATGGTGCAGTGCTCAATAGTTGGGGTAACCTGTGTAGACCCCCAAAAAAGTAGAATAATTGATGCAAGTGAGACCAGAGGCCCTATGGCCAGAATCTAGTACAGATGAGTGATGCAGGGGCTAAATATTTAAGACAAAACTCTAGGAGAAAAGCTTACCTCCCCTCTTCCTTCCCTCCCTCCCTTCTGTTTATCACTCCTTCCAAGCATCCGTTTCTCCTTCCTTCCATCTTTCCTTCATACACACATTTTTTTCTTCTTCTCTCTATCCCTTCCCTCCTTTCTTCTATCATCTATCCATCCATCCTTTCATCCATCCATCCACCCACCCATCCATCCATCCATCCATCCACCCACCCACCCATCCATCCATCCACCCACCCACCCATCCATCCATCCATCCATCCATCCATCCATCCATCCATCCATCTGCTCATTCATCCCTATCCATCCATCCATCCATCCATTCATTCATCAATTCACACATCAATCATTCCTTCCTAACTCACTCCTTTCCTTTCTTCCTTCTTCTCCTTCACACCTCCTTCTATGAAACCTTCTGTCCATCCTTCCTTCCATCCCCCTTTCTTCCATCTATCCATCTCTCCTGGCACCCTCTCTCTATCCTTTCCTTTCTTACATCTATCCACCTACCTTTCCTTCCTCCCATCCCTCTTTTCTTCCTTCCATCTGCTTCTCCATCTTCTCTCCCTACCTCTTCCCATTCATCTTTTCTTCTTTTCTTCCATCCATCCACCTTGCTTTCCCTCCATGTACATCGAGTTGTCTCTATAATGCTCCATGAACTATTCCAAGGACTGGACAGTGATAAACAAAACAGTCCATGGAGCTGACTTTAACTTAACTTGATCCTATCATTTGGGAAAAGACAGTTGTGATTGGACTTCAGGAGCCCAGAACCCTGCTGTGGTTGGAAGGAGTGAGAGAGGATGCTTTGATGCAAAAGACCAGTAATAGACCCAAGGATAGTTTGAGAGGGTTGAAAAAACACACCCCCTAATGCAAGGGCAATTAATTCTTGAAAACCTACAAGGTTCTCATTACAGGGTTGGCTGGGGATGCAAAGGGAGTTTGGACCATGAACTTGAACATAATGGGTGTGCACCAAAAATCAGCATGACTTTTGGAATAAATTAACTGATGATGAAAAGCGTGGAGAGTGGTACCATGAGTTTTGGAGTGATAGGAATTCCGTGTTTTATTGTTTATTTGCTGTGTGGCTTGGCAGCCTCTCTGAGCCTGAGCTTCATCATCTGTGAAATGGAGCTAAGTCACATGGTCATAGTGAGAATTAAAGGATGGAGTGTATGTGTTTTGGGATGGATTGTATCCCCCTTAAAAGTTATACATTGAGGTCCTCATCCCTAGTACCTCAGAATGTGAGTGTGTTTGGACATATGGCCTTTAAAGAGGTAATTAAGTTAGAATGAGCCTGTTGGCGTGGGGACTAATCCAATCTGACTGATGTCCTTATGAGAAGAGGATGTTAGGACACACGGGGAGACACCAGGAATGGTGCAGAGGGACAACCACGTGAAGGGGCCACAAGAGGATGGTCATCTGCAAGCCAAGGAGAGAGGCCTCAGGAGAAATCAGCCCTGCCTGCAGCTTGATCTTGGACACCAGCCCCCAGACTGTGAGAAAATAAATGTCTGTTGTTTGAGCCACGTAGTACATGGTATTTTGTTGCGACAGCCCTAGCAAACTAACACAGTGTGTAACTTAGCACGGCACCTGGAAGGTGGTCAGTTTCAATAAATGTTCATTGAAAATCCAACAACAGCTGGTGCAACACTGACGTGGAGAACCTCTCAAAACAACAAGCAGAGATATGAATAAAGGGGAAGAAAGGAGGACCAAGGGCAGGGCTTTGGGAGAATTATAGTGAAAACCACGTGGGGTCAGGATGTGGTGGAGAACATGTCTGTGTCTAAGGCTTTCTCACCCTGGGCTGGGACTCTCCACCAGAACCCGGGAGAGAGAGAAGGGATGAGTTAGGGAACCTTCCAGAGTTTCCCTCAACAAAGACAGGGGGTGAAGGAGAACAAGTGCTCCCCAATCCCAAAGTGCAGAGGGGACCCAGGAAATCAGGGCCAGGAGTACTCACTGGTGGTAGCTGGGGCCACGGCTCCATAGGTGTAACCTGTGGAGAGAAGGCGAGAGGAGCTGAGCAAGAGTTGGGGTGAACATAAGGATTAAGAGACAAGAAGGATTTAGGGACCTTTGTGGGAAAAGCAGAGGGGAAGAGGCAGTGGAGGGATGTTCAGGGAGGAGGCAATGAGGTGGAAGGTGGCTGGACCCAGTGATTACCCTGTGATGAGAAGACTGAACCCAGACCAGAAGGAGACAGAGATGGATCACAGCTCACTTCAGAGAAATGGAGGCAACACAAATCTCTGACTGGGAGAGAGACCATGATTGTAGGCCCTCACCATTGACGTAGAGGCTGTCCCTGTCCAGGGTGAAGGACCCCAGCTGGGTTATGCCATGGGTCTCATGGCTCAGCTCCCAGTAGAGTCGCTCTCTGTCCAGCCCAGGGCCCTCAGGGTCAGAGTGGTAGGAACAGACAATGTCCATTCCAGTGGCTGCTCCACCCTTCTCAAGCCTGGGGAAGAAGGATATGGGGATGTGGAATACCGAGCAGGGGTCCTTCTGGGTGTGGAAAGCAAGAGTGGAAAGGAGGATGCTGATGGAGATGCTGAAGGGGCTGCTCTGATGTCCAGAGGGGCTCTCCTAAGTGTCTCTCCTCTGAGACAACTCCCTCACAATTAAGGACTGAAAACACCTTAATTAGAATTTGCAAACAGGATGCAGTGGTTATCCCACTTCTTCTAAGAAGAGAGCCTTCATTTGAAACTAAGTATCATCTGGATTCCATAGACTATAAACACAATAGTTCGTTTCTAAGCCTTGAGCATTCTCTTCTACTAGGCATGAAGGAGGCATGAAGGTCTCACGGTGGGTGCTGGAGGCCACTGGTTCCAGGAGCATGTCCAGCAACTGATCCCTGCTGACTGGTGCATGAGGGTCCACCTGACCCAATGAATCACTCCATCATGTGGGGGTCTCACCTGAGCAAGGCCAGTCTGCAACCAGCATAGAGAGGGCCAACACTGGTCTTATTGAGCAAGAGATGGAGCTGGTGGAGAAAGAGTAGGAGGTGAGCAGAAGGGCTGAGGGGCTGTATGAGAAGGGGTGAGGTGGGCTGGCAGTGGTCATCAAGAGGTTCTCACCCGGTGTTGTAGGATCCTCTCAGTGGCATTGAACTCTGAAGAAGCTGGGCACCCCATGTCCTCTGTGTAATGCATGTTGGTGACGGTGAAGTTCAGGGTGAAGGACACCAGGGTGAGGCCAGGGGCTGCAGTTGGAAAGGAAGAGAAAGATGTCCAGTTGGGACCATAATAATGACCAAGGTTGCCTGGGGCTCTGACCACGGGGCACCAGCAGTGAACTAATTACAGCCATGGGCTGAAGGAGAGAACATTATGGAATTCCTAAGACATCGAGAACCTTCACTCATTCATTCAGTGAGCATTTATTGAGCACCTAATGTATGAAAGCCTCTATGCTGGGCTCTGAGGGGATGAATAGAGCATAGCATCTCAATGCTGTGGATCAGATCATTATGCTTCACTGGAAGCTGGGGGCTGTGCAGTTCCAGGAGGGGCACTGAGGCAGCATCATTTCAAGCGTGACCAAAAGCGTAAGTAAGAGTTAGACAAGAGCTGAGCAAGTGGTAAGAGTGCTCAAGCAGAAGCAACAGCCTGGGTTAAGGCCCAGCAGGAGGACAGAGTGGTTGCACTCAAGGAATTTGAAGAAGTCCTTTTGTTATGGCCAGGGAGAAGTGTGAGACTGGAGGGATCCTCTGAGCCCAGAAAGGGGACGCAGTGACCATGCAGCACAGTCTGAAACTGATTAGCAGACCAGTGAAGTCATCCGAAGATTGTTAACCAGACAGGAATTATCTGGACATAGGTATATTGGGAGGGATGCTGCAGCTACTGGGTGGAGAACTGTAGGAAGCCAGAATGGAGGCTACTGCAGTCTTCCTAGCGAAAAATGCCAGTGACCTGAATAAAGGCTGAGTGATGCAGATGCAGAGAAAGGAAGGACTCGAGAGAGATTCTAAAGGGAGAAAAGATGATTTGGTGATGGATGGATGAGGGAGGAGAGCAGGAGAGAGGGTCAAGGTTGGCGCCCGCTTCCCTGCCTTTGGGGATCAGGAGAAAGAGCAAGTTTGGGAGAGGATGACGACTTCAGGGTCAGAGACTGGGTGATGTCCAGGAGGTGGGTGAACCAAGGGTCAGGAGCTGCTGTGTGGTGTGAGTTAGACTTGGGGTTTGGATTCTGAGCACTTAGATGATCCCCGAAATCCACAGAAATGGATGAGTTGCCTCAGGGAAGGCGAGTGAGCAATGAGGGAAGAAGTGATCTGGTACAAATGATTTTGGTACCAGTAAGAGCCTTCCTATCTGCGGGCATAGTGGAGGGGGATGGAGCCAGAGAGGACACTGGGAAGGATGTGGAGGTCACAGCAGCTGAAGAAAAGAAACATCAGGAATGATATCCAAAGTGTGCTATACCTTTAAGGGAATAGTGGCAGCAGTGGTGGCTATAGTTATAAAATGTGCATCTCTCTCTATGCCCCATTTAACTTGGAGTTAGGACATCATCCCCGGTTGTGTGAGGAGTGAGAGGGAGGGTAATTCCTGTCACCTCTGACTCAGCCCACATTTCTATGCCTGTCCTCTGGCCTCCTCTACATCCAGATGGTGAGTGATAGTGGGGAAGGGTTGGCTGGTTGAGCAGCTGCTATTTTTAGGGGAAGGTTGGTGGTCACAGGTGCACAGAAGTCTGAAATACTCACTATTGGGGGTAGTGGCCGGGGCTGGATGAGTGTAACCTGTAAAGAGAGGGAGAGGTGTTGAGGAAGGAGGAAGGGAGAGGCAGTCAATGAAGAAGCAACTTGGCCATTGGAGAGATGGAGGCTGGACCATCACAGCTGTGGCTCATTAAAAGGAAGACAGACTGCTCACCTGGAAGAGACAAAATCCACCCTCCCATCCCCAGAGAGGCAAAAGACTTACTCAAAGCACCATGACCCCGTGGAGGTCAACTCCGTGCATAACCTGTTGCAGCAGAGCCCACTCAGTGTGGAAGAGGGAGACCCACACCCAACACAGCTCTTTACCATTGATGCAGACACTGTTATTACAGAAGCTGGGGAGAAAATACCCCAAGGGCTTGGTTTGGGGACCTCATTATCCCTGAGATGCCAAGAAGGTGGCGCCCACTTCTGGTGCTTTAACGGGTATTAGTCCCTGTTTTCTGAGGCTGGAGGTAAGGTGGGGATGGGGAGTGGAGGCAGTGGGCTCCTGGCCTCTTCCATTCCTAGGAGCTCGCACTCAGACAGAGGGTTGTAGAGATTTCTGAAGCCTCAGGATACTCACTGCTAGGAGTGGTGGTCCGGGTCTGCGGGGTGTAAACTGCACAGGTAGAGGGAGTTAGGGTGAGGAAGTGGGGGGATAGGGAAAGGGAAGAATGAAGAGGGAGTATGTGGGACCTGTTGAAATGCAAAAAAAGATGGCAGCCCCTCACCATTGATGTACAGACTGTCCTGGTCCAGGGTGTAGGAGCCCAGCTGAGTGACACCATGGGTCAGCTGGCTCAGCTCCCGGTACAGCTGCTCTCTGTCCAGGCTGCAGCCCTCTGGGTCAGGGTGGTGGGTGCAGACGGCGTCCACTCCAGTGGCTGCCCCATTCTTCTCAGGCCTGGGAAGAGCAGGTGAGGGGGATGACAATAAATAAAGTCCCTAGGGAGGGGTCCTGAGATCCTTGGGGGCAGGACAGGAAGGGGCCAGAGGAAATGAGAAGGCTGGTAGACAGATGAGAAGCCAGACTTAGATTCTCTGAGTGCACTGGCTTCTGGCCAGCCTGGGTCTGTGAATGGAGTCAGTAGATGGGAGAATTATTATTAATTTGCAAGCCAGAGACCTGCTTCCTCATGGCATGGAGACAGGAGAGCTCATACCGAGACAGGTGAAGAGCTGGAATATGGGATTAAAGCCAGTGGAAAAGGCACCTTTGTCTTAAGAAAAATTCTGGTGACAGAATTGAAAACCTAAAGGATATGGCCTCATTGGTCAAAAAGAGGGGAGGAGGGAATTCAGAAGGATGACCAGGCTAGGGGCCCAATCCTGCTGATGGGCTGTGCAGAATCTGGGGACAGTTAGCAGGGAGAGTTACAATCACAAGAGGCATTGGTCCTGGAGCTAGTGCCTCCTGAACTCCACCTCTGCTGAGGACATTGACAGGGATGGCAGGAAGGAAGTGAACCAAACTCCTGCTTGGGTCTGGGAGCACTTGAGTCAGCCCTGGCTGGTTATTCCAAGGTCTCACCTGAGCAGGATCAGTCTGCAGCTGGAGTACAGGGGGCCCACACTCGTGTTCTTGAACAAGGGTCTAAGCTGTGGGTGAGGTAAAGGGAAGTAAACAGGTGGGTTGAGAGGCAGGGCAAGATGGTCATCCAGTGGGTGGGGCAAGAGTGAGATGGGTGAGGGTAGCACCGGGGGATGGGGCAGGAGTGGAGAGGTGGTCATCAGCGGGCAGGGCTGGTGTCAGTATGCAGGATGGAGGTTAGGTGGGCGGAACTGGCCTCGTGGGTGGGGCTGGCATCAATGGGCAGGGCATAGGTGATGTGGGTGGGGCTGGCATCAATGGGCAGGGCATAGGTGATGTGGGTGGGGCTGGCAT